CCCTTTCCAGGCTTCCTCTTGCCTCTTCCTGCGCACCTCCCCTTCCCCCTTCTACATCCTCGTCTACATCGACGACATGCTTCTTGCCGCTGACAACGAAGCAGGCGTACGACATGATGTGCACTCGCCCCAGCCTCGCCTACCCTATCAGTGTCCTGGCGCGCTTTGTCAATGCTGGCAAGCACACTCCCGAGCACTGGCAAGTGGCCAAGCGCGTTCTTCGCTACATCAAAGGCACCAAGGACTATGTCCTCACCTTGGGTGGCCCCACCCCTCCTCAGCTCACTGGCTACAGCGACTCCTTTTGGGCGGATTCTCAGCCCGATCGTCGTAGCTCACAGAGGTATGGTTTCTCCCTTAGGAGCGGCCTCATTTCTTGGCGCTCCACCCGCTCCTCCTCCACCACTCTCTCCTCCTGCGAAGCTGAGCTCTACGCTATCACCATGGCGGCCCAGGGAGCACGGTGGCTCAGGTTCCTCCTCGTTGAGCTGGATGCTCCCCAGCCCTGTCCCACCATGTGGTGCGACAATGCCAGTACTATCCACCTCACGAAGGAGGCCGTTTTCCATGGTCGCTCCAAACATATCGAGCTCTGCCACTACTTCGTTCATGAGATCGTTCAGGCTGGACACCTAACCGTCCGCAAGATTGACTCTTCAGCGAACCTTGCGGATATCTTCACCAAGGCCCTCCCTCGCCATCCCCATGCGGCCCTCCTTCGCCTTCTGGGTCTTGCCCCTCCCTCTCAGGGGAATACCTGATTCAGGGGTTGCTTCTCCTCACCTACCCAAGACTTCTGGCACTCTGTAGGCTAAGGGGTTGTGTTAGAATATTCTCTCCTCATTCTATTAGCCTACATCGTTTCATTGTCTTAGGTACTTATATGCACCCCACTAAGGTGTATACACCCAAGTTGGGGGTTGGGTTCCCAAATTGGTTGGGCTCCCAATTATTGGAACCCTCAATAATCCCAACCAAGATTATTGGACCCACCAATAATCTTGGCTAGGATTATTGGACCCCCAATAAGTTGGCCAACTCAACTTATTGGGGTCACCAATAATCGTGGTCACCTCCCAACCAAACCCCCCCCCTCCTGCTCCTCACCTATGTATACCTGCTCCTTTCCTAATACTATCATGACTTCAGTTTCTCACACATCGAGCACGAGAGAAACCCATTTGCCAAGTTATGCATGAACGCGAAAAGGGCACAAAATAAACATGGCAATGAAACGCAATAGAAATGGCACAAACAGAGGGAGGGAAAAGAAAAGAAGTTAGTAAAGCAGCGGAAGATATCAACAGACAAATACCGAGACATCTCACGAGGAAAAAAAAAAGCAGCACAGTTACGGCGAGCAATGAGCGATAGACTGTAGGATAAAAGAATGACAGGTTCTACACCCGTATAAGAGTATACGACAAGGAGAGAAAGGAAATGAAGGCCAATGGTGAGGACGATGTCAATTGAAGAGCACGAGATACAGAGATGGAGCGAAACCAGAAAGAAAAACCAGATTTGGTAGAAATGGTAAGTGGTTGGTAGGCGGGACGGCATCGGTGGGGGGGGAGGGCCTGGGGTAGGGAGGTGGAAGAGGTCAGGGGGGTAAAGAAGTAGTTGGTAACGTTTGCTGGGGGTGTACTTTAGGAAGGATAAGGCATAGTGGCGATCGGCCAGAGAAATTCGAATAGGGCACGATTGGTTAGTACCGTCCTGTTGGATCAGATGATGATTGACGTGCCACGTTTGTCAGAAATTTGAGGGACAGTAACCCGCCCAGTGAGCTCACATTCGTCCCGCTCACAATTTCGCACAGGTCAGTTCCTACGTCGAAGTTTTTGCCGAATCCGCTCAACGATTATTGGCTGTTATCCACTTGTATGACTCGCTAGGCAGTGACGTGTGTTGGTGATTTGATAGGTAGGTTCGAGACTTGAGCGAGAGCTTTCGAAAGTTACAATTCGTCGTGGTCACCGCTATTCTCGTTGAAGACTTCATGAACTGCCAGTAATGTTGATAGTTGTTCAACCAACATTCTTGGACCAGAAATCCGAGAATGTTTGTAAAAATCCGCGTCAAAATGCTTTTGACCGTGCAAACACGTTTGGAGAGAGGGTACAGTGGGCATTTTGGCGAGCTCCAGCTGCCAACTGCAAAACACAATGCTTTTCTAAAAGCCAATTACAACATGACACGTGTCTATCGTGAATTTAATGCAACCGAATTTCGTCCTTTTTGTCACATCTCCGCTCGTCACAGAAATGTGACTTTTCCTTCCAACTTTTCCGAAGCTTTGCCGAAGGAAAAGCTACCGTGCTGAAATTTTCTGCAAAAACTTTTCCGCGATGATGGAGTGCTCCGCGTCGACAAGGCGGTATACGAATATCTTGTAGACACATATGGCCACTTGGTTGTTGGAGGTGGTGGCCATGCCGTAGGTGTGCAAGTACGTGTGGCTATTTCCCTCATCCGACTCGGCTTTGGGTGGACCTACTGCCAAATCGGGTTGCATTTTGGAATGAGTCATGTCCATGCACGAAGACTATTCATGCACTTCATACTCTATGTTGTCCACATCCTCAAACCCATGTGGGTTCAGTGGCCAAACGAGAACGACTTACGCCGAAACAAAGCCGAGTTTAGGCATGACGCGGTCATACTGGGGGTAGTAGGTGCTGATGACGGAACATACATACATTGCAGAAGCCAAGGAGCGCACAAAGGCGACTTTGAAAATAGGAAACTATTCTATAGCATAATCCTACAACCGATCATCAACGCTGATGGCTACATATGGAGTTTCCTTGCCGGTTGGCCTGGTAGTGTTAATGACGCCCGAGTGTTCGACCGTTCAGCCGCACGGGCAAGGATAGAGCGTGGTTGCATTGGAGATTTCTGCCTAGTTGGAGACGCCGCATATGGTCTTCGGTGGTATATGTTCCCCCCTTACCCCGCCCAACTGGGTAGAATGATTCCCGACGCCCAAGCCGCTTGGAACCTTCAGCAAAGTTGTGCTCGCATGATCGTAGAGTTGGTAAACGGTATGTTGAAGGGAAAGTGCAAGTGCTTGGAGAAGAGGCTCGAGTGCCATATTCTCGGGTTCGTCTTATAGTCGTGGCGTGTTGCATTCGAAATAACATCAAATTGTTGCTTGGTTGACGGCCGCGACTAGGGGGAGAGCGGCCGCGTCACCGGTGGTGGCTTGAGGGCCCGGCTGCGGACTTGCACCACGTGGCATCCTCGGCAGCCAGCTTCACTCCGACTCTGAGGAGGAGGTTGACGGCGATCCTCTACGCTGCTTGGAGGGTCGCGCATCCCGAAAGGTCACGACCAATGACCGGGTATGTGATTTGAAGTCATCCCATTTGCGGTCGATCATCCGCTCCCCGTTTCCGGTCGCGCGGTCAACCATGTCCATCATCAACCGCCTGCGTTCCTCATCTCCCTCCCCCAATTGCCCTCCTGCAGGCACCGAAGCCGACCCCATCGCCCACCCGCGACTTCTTAGCAAAATACCCGCGCCCACACGGACACCCCGTGATGAGCCCGGCCCGCCCGTAGGATGCAAGTTGGGTTCGGAGTGGACAAACGTCGGAATTGTGTTGGGAGAGAGCGGGGTGGGACGGGGAGGAGTGGCAGACGGTGGTAGGGCGGAAGGGTAGTCGAGCGCATGGGTGTGCCGGAGTTTGGTGTGCCTGGCAGCATGGGGAAAGGGGATGTGGAGGGCGTGTGCTTTGTTATCCCTAATTGATTTCTGATTTTGACTGATTATGTTGGAAATATACATGTGCTACCCATTCCGGATGGTTCAGCTAGGGATTCAAGGAAAGTTAGGTACATGTAGTAGTGGACGGTCGGGGCGCCGTGGTAGTAGGTACGCATTGGGGTAGCTTATTGCTGGGCAATGGTTCGGCCACTGCTGGGGCCTCCGCCTCACCGACAGTTTGCCCACCATCCTCCTCGTTGGACATGATGGCCACTAATGCCACGACTGGCCTTCCTCCAAATAGCATCGTCCACATTCCAAACCAAGCCTTTTCCGGCGATGTTCGGCCGGCGCCAGAATTTTCTGTCCTAGCATACCACTTGTCCCACACCGTCTTCATTCTCTGCAGTTTTGCCTTGATGGCGGCGGCATTGTGACGCCATCCGAGGTGACGACGTCGAAGTATGGCATGCCGATATGGAAACCAGCTCTGGCCTTGTTTGTCCCGCATCTCTTTGATTTGCTCATTCTTCTCGTAGTGTGCGTGTGCGAGTTGGAGCTCCTCCTCGCGCATCCATCGTTGCCCAGTAGCTGCGTCGGATTGTTGGGCAGTACTGTGCATGATGGTGGTGCCACATGCGGCACCACTCTCGATCTCCGTGCTTTCGGGAATGGGCCCGTCATCAATCTCGGCATCAATCTCTTCAGCCGCATCATAGGGCGCATTTGGAGAGGGGAGCCAGTTACCCCACCATCCCGAAATCTGGGCAAGGTTGCCGAGCGCAGCATCTCCCGTGCGCCTCGCGCCATGTGCGCCTGCATCTGCGCTATGCTGTTGCATTGCCGATTCCGAAGTCTCTACACCGTTCGCGCCTCCTGCTAGTGGGTTGTTGTACATGGGTGAGTTGGCGTCATCCTGTTGGTGCACCGGGTCATGCTCTCCTAATAGGCGTGGATCCATGGGGGCCTTCCTCTCGAGTGATGTGTCTTGTTTGTCTGAACGAGATGCTTGCTCTGCCGCTAGAACAGAGAGCTTTTTGTAGGCTTTCATGCAATGAATGGTTGCTTCCCTTTGTCTCACATAGCCTACGATGTGTGGCGCGGGTGGGAATTTTGGTTTCCCTTGGTGGATTTGTGACATTGGGTTTTTTTCCACGAAAATTGTGGAGGCCGGGCGAAGTCCCGCCAACTTGTTTGTCCGATTCGTTTTTCGCAAATATTTTGAGTTGCGCAACCCACTCTGTCAGTTCGCCAACCTTTTTGGTGATCTTTGACGAGGGGCGTTACTTTCGCGAGTTGCGCAACCCAGTTTTTGCCGAAGTACCACAGCCTAATATGGCATCTAGAGCTAGGTTTAGGCTCCTCCTTACGCTTCCGCCCTAGCACACGACCTCGCACTAGCCTAGAGCGCTTCTCCCCTAGTCTCGCACCTCGTCACTAGTCGTCGTCCCCCCCCTGCTAGACCCTACTAGTCGGCCCCTCCCTTACGCCGCCCGCTAGCGCACGTCGCCGCCCTCCCTGGCCCTTCGCGACCCCATCGCTAGTCCGCTCCCCACCCCCCCCCATGTTCGCCGAGTAGCCAGCGCCAGCCCGCTTGCCAGCAAGACCAGCGCCAGCCCGCCAGCACTCGTCCGCACCAGCGCCGGCCCCTCGGCATCAGCTCACTAGCTCACGCCAGCCTGCGCCAGCCAACGCCTGAGCCAGCCCACCAGCACCAGCTAGCTAGCTAGCGCCAGCCAACCCCAGTCACCGCCAGCCAGAGCCAGCCCGCGCCAGCACCAGAAGGCGAGCACCAGCCCGCACCATCGCCAGCCGCCGTCAGTGCTAGCTGTGCCAGCCACCCACCGCCAGTGCCAGCAACATGCTGCCAGTTGCCAGCGCTCGCCACGCTAGCCGCCGGCCACCAGTGCGAGCAGCACGCCACCAGCCGCCAGCGCTTGCCTCGCTAGCCACCAGCCACCAGCGCCAGCAGCACGCCACCAGCCACCAGCACCAGCAACCCGCCACCAGCCGCCAGTGCCAGCAGCGCTCGCCACCCGTCGCCAGCGCCAACAGCCAGCACCGGCTGCCGCCCGCCAGCAGTGCCGGCCGCCGCCTGCTAGCAGACAGCACCAGCAGTCAGCGCAAACCGCCGCCTACCAACAGCGCCAGCCGCCACCGCCAGCGGTGCTAGCCGCCAGCCAGCGCCAGCCTACGCTCACCTGCCGCGCGGCCCACCTGCCGCCAGCCGCTGCCGCCACCAGCTGCCACTGCCCGCCGCTACCCACCCTTGCAGGCTCCCACTGCCACCGCCAGCTGCCACCGTCCGCGGCCTCCTACTACCGTCTACTGCAGCTCGCCGCTGCAACCGCTGCTGCCCCTCCCCACCAGCTGCCACCATGGCAACCCCGTCTGCCTCTGTCCCCTGCCTGGACGCCGAGGGTCGGGCGCTTGGCTGGTCGCTCTCTGCTGCCAGCTCACCTCAATCCGCTAGGACGACCAGGCCCTCGTGGCCCACACTTCGGGTACGTTGCCCACCCCCCAAGAGCCCACTGCACTTGCTGCTGATGCAACGTCCGAGTAGCAGACGGCGTACGAGACTGCCCTAGCTGCCCTCTCTGTCTGGCAGCCCCACGACGTAGCTGCGCAGCTGGTCGTCACTAGAGCCCTTCCTCCATACAAGCAAACTCACTTTGACACTCTAGAGACTGCTACTCTAGTCAGTCCTCCGCAGGAAATCTGGGACGCAGTTGTCGCTCGCTTCTCAACTCAGTCCTCCAATACCCAAGGTCGTCTCCTTTTGCCATTTCCTTTCCCCGACCTAGCCTCCTTCTCCACTGTAGTAGACCTAGTTGCACACCTGCACTCCCTTGAGGCTCGCTGGCGTGCACCCTGCCCTGAGGAGCAGTGCACCACCCACTTCCCGCCCACCTATATCACCCTGTACCTCCTTGTCACCCGCCTCCCTGACCGTCTCGCCCCTGCTCGCGACGCTCTCCTCGCACAGCCCCCCACCTCCCTCACCGTCGCTGAGTTCTCCACCGCCCTGACGACGGTTGAGTCGCGCCTCCATGCCATCGCCAACATTACTGGCACCATGGCGGTCCTCATCTTTTAGGGCTTCTCTGCCCCCCAGCTCCCTATCTCTGGGCCTCTGCCTCTGTCGCGGAGGTCACCTAGACTGTCGCAGCGGCGGATGCCCTACGCACAATAGAACTATCCTCGACGGCCAGAGGCAAACTCGCCACCACGGTCAGAGTGAGGTGGCGTGCTTGCAGCAAGCTGACGAGCGAGTGAGCGAGCAAAGAGGTTGGCGAGCTGACAAGTAAGCTAGCTGGCGAGCGTGCAGACGTTATTGGTGGCGAGCCGACAGGCCCTGCTGGCAGCTAGCTGGTAGGCGATGCTGGTGACAGCAGAAGCGGCAGTGGTGGCTGCAGTTGCAGCTGGGACAGCCGTGGCAGTGGCGGCTGCAGGGGCAGCAGCTGTGACAACAGCGGAGGCGGCGGCAGCAGCGGCACTTGCGGCAGCAGTGGCTGCAGCGGCAGTAGTGGCTGCAGCGGCATTTGTGGCGGCAGTGGCTGTCGCTGCAGCAGCAGCTATAGTGGCAGCAGCTGTAGCGGCGGCAGTGGCGGTCGTGGTGGCTGCAGTGGCGACAGTGGCAGCTGCAAGAGCAGCAGCAACGGTGGCTGCAGTAGTGGCTGCAGTAGTAGCGGTGGCGGCGGCAGCTGTGGCAGCAGTAACAGTAGCGGCAGTTGTGGTGGTGGTGGAAGCCGGCGGCTGTAGTAACAGCGGCAGTAGCGGCGGCAGCTGCGGCAGTGGCGGGCGCTGGCTGCTGGCGCTGGCAGCTGGCGGCGGGCGGCTGGCACTGGCGGCCGGAGGCTAGCGCAGGTTGCTGGCGCAGACAGCGGTAGCTGGCGCTGGCTGGCTGGCACTGGCGCTGGCTAGGTAGCGCTGGCGCTGGCTGGCTAGCGCTGGCTGGCGGGCGCTGGCTGGTTGGCTGGCGCAAGCTGGCGGACGCTGGCTGGCTGGCGCTGGCTGGCTGGCTGGCTGGCTGGCTGGCTGGCACTCAGCGTCAGCCAAACAGCTCGCCAGCGCCAACCAGCGCCAGCGCCAGCCCACCAGCACCAGCCAGCTAGCTCGCGCCAGCCAGTGCTAGCCAGCGCTAGGGCCAGCCCGCCAGCACTAGCCAGCTAACTAGCACCAGCCAGCCAGCCAACAAGCGCCAGCCAGCCAGCCAACACCATCCAGCCCGCGTCAGCCAGCCAGCGCCAGCTAGCTATCGCCAGCTAGCCTGCGTCAGCCAGCCAGTGCCAGTGGCGCTGGCGATTTGGCTGGCTGGCGGCAGCAAACTGGCTGCAGCGAGCGGCTAGCTGACGGCTACTGTCTGGCGGCGGCATGCTGGTGGTTGCTGGCTGGTGGCAGCAAGCTGCGAGCTGGCGGCGGCCAGCTGGCAGTAGCGCACTGGCAGCGGCTAGGGAACGAACTTGCTGTAGCGAGTGGGCGACGGGCTGGAGCTAGCGCTAGCGAGGTGGCTGGCGCTAGAAAGAGTGACGGGTCAGGGTGGGCAAGAACGAGCGCTCGGTTCTTATGGGGTGGAACGACTACTAGCGATGAGGCGCGCGACTAGGGGTGAAGCGCGCTAGGCTAGACCGGGAGCGTGTGCAAGGGCGGAAGCGTGAGGAGGAGCCAATACCTAGCTGTGATACCATGTTAGAGTTGCGCGAGAAAAGAATGTCAAGAGTTGTACAAGAGCGAGGATTACCCCATAAGAATTGACCTAGCTAGGATATAACTAAATAATATATATTTGTTGACAGGGGGGTGGGGGGATGGATTGAAATTCATCTGTTCGCCACTTTCTGTTCGACCAATCATTAACATGGGATTGTTCGTCAATCCCTTTTGTGATATCGCGTGTGGCCGTTGTTTGTCGTCATGTGGTTCGGAACATTGCTATGTAACTTGCTCTTGTTGTCCTTCATTTCATTTGTCGCTGACGGCTGTATGTTGTGTTATGACTCAGCTCACGGATATGCCAACTCCTGGTAAAATAATTTGAGGGTGAGTCCTGGCTAAGTGTCACCGACATCGCGTCTGTTGGCATGAGCGTAGAAAACGACGACGGCTCCACCATTTCCTAGAAATTTGGGCGGCTTTCAGCACGCTGGCACTACGACCACAGTCAGCAACATGTAAATGCTAGATTAATTATGCATCGTCGGCCTCCCTAAGTGTCAGAATCATAGCGGAACTAGACTGCAAGGCAGATTATCGATAGCTTTGATGGCCAGGTGTGATGAGGCAGAAACAGTAAGTGTCGAATATTGGTAGTAGCGAGGAAAACAGTACAATGCAGGCAACATCAAAACAACAGAGGGCTTGAATGTAGCTATACCTAGAACACACGATCGAGGCTCGGCACAGCTTCGAAGTGCGGTTTTTTAATTGTCGTAGAGTGCACATATTCATGCACGAAACTGTAAGACGCACGAAATGCATGCGACTCGTCAGAGGGCCACATTTGGGTGCCGCGATTTGAATTTCGTGGCAGGCTGCGCAGCAACCCCGTTATAGTATACATGTTCTCCTATTGAATCCTACGGTTTTTGCACGCGACTCGAGACTGTAAGGAGAAAATAGTCAAACGCGGGCAAACGGGGCATAGAAGGGAAAAACCCCCAGTCTTCACTGTCACTTGGTTACATATTCACGCTCATGCACTATAGAATTTGTTTGTCGGACATCCTGGATCTGATGTTTGAATACTAGAACGAACAGAAAGAAGAGAGAACAATGGAGATATAGGGTTTGGGTTTTACTCTCTAAGAACACACACCTATTCTAGCCTATAAATTCTACATGCAAATGTATGCATAAGTTGACACACCCCCTAGGCTAGATAAGAGGTAGTGCTGAGCAAGCAGCACACAGCTCAGGGTGGCACTACTAGTCTAACCTCTGAGACAGGGGTCCAAAGACCAGTCTGCAAGAGTACAAACAAGGCAGGAGCAAACCAGGGCAGCAGTACTACTCCGGCCACTGGAAGGGAAGCCACAAGGCTAGTCTGAAATATATATATAAAGAGGAGTACACAATCAAGATCCTAGCAAGTGAGAGTCTACAGGAACTAGACCAAGCTGCAAACAGTGCCGCTAATGGTCCTTAGGCGCAAGCGTCTAAGTACAGATATCAGCTGTGTTGGCACCGGAGGCCAACTGTACTACGCGGGCCTGGCGGCGCTGTTGTAGCACACGCAGGAGGAAGTACTGTAGCTGGATGTGCTTCGCTCTGCCCTCAAGTCGAGGCTCCTGACACAGGAGGATCATGGCCCTGTTGTCAGCGTACAAGACCGGGGCAGAGCTAGGCCACTCTCCTAAGTCGGTGAGCAAGAAGGTCAGCCAGTGGAGCTCCTGTGCCGCCATGGCACCGGCGTAGATCTCAGCCTCACAGCTGGACTAGGCAACAGACGAGGAGCGAGTGGACCTCCACGAGATGGCACCTGAACCAAGGCTAAAGCAGTAGCCCTGGGAGGACCTGAGTGTCTCAGCGTCGTCTGCCCAAGAAGCGTCTGTGTGCCCAGTAAGGACCACTAGCATGCATCCTCCCAGCACTAACCCCATGCCCGATGTACTTGCTAGATAACGCAAAACCCTCTTAGCGGCCGACCAGTGCTGTGGTCGGTGTCTTCCTGTGGCCACAAAGTGAGCCAGGATGCTAAGAGGGTACGCGAGATTTGGACGAGTGCAAGTCCTGATGACTACATAAGGCAACCCACCAGCTCTGCGTAAGGGCCACTGAGTTCTACTGACTCCTCAGGAACTGGAGCTGAGAGCCTTTGATCTATTGGCAGAGGTGTGGGCTATGCGGAGGAGAAAAGAATACCAAACCTCTCAAGGACCTGGTGCATCAAGTGTGACTGTGTAAGAGTGATGGTGTGCGCTGCTCTGTCCTAAGAGATCTGCAGGCCAAGGTAACGGCATAGCTCTCCTAGGTCAGTGCAGGTGTGTCTCCTCAGCAGCTCGGCCTTCACGGAGGCCAGCGCGTCTCTGTCTGCAGTGGCGAAGACCAGATCATCTACGTGGACAAGGATGTAGAACGAAGTCTAGCCAGCACGAACGAAGAGCGAGGGGTTTGCAAAGGACAAAAAGAATTGCAGGTAAGCTAGTGTAGCACGCAGCGTGTCGTGACACTTACGGGGTGCCTGTCGCAGGCCATAGACTGGGCGCCGAAGGAGCCATTGGGTCCCAGGAGGGAAGGTACCAGTAAAATTCTGAGGATGTCGCAGGTAGATCTGCTCCTTTAGGCTGCCCTGAAGAAATGCAGTGGAGAAGTCGAGGGAGTGAAGCTCGTAGTCACGCTGTGCTACTACGTGTAGCAGCGCCAAAAGAGTAGTCATCTTCGGGGTCGGGGCGAAGGTCTGAAAGAAGTCCACCCCCTCACACTGACTAAAGCCTCTAGCCACGTAGCACGCCTTGAACACAGGCGGTTCTCCAGGGGGGTGCTTCACCTTGAAGAGCCACCAGCCATCGACTACATTCACCCCAGGTGGGGGAACTGCATCGACGTAGGTGCCGGTGGATCTCCAAGATGCCATCTCCTGCTCCATGGCAGCTATCCACTGAGAGGCCCACGGTCTCGAGGTCGCTTCAGCGTAAGTACGAGGGGTAGAGGCGAAGCCAGCGACAGCAGCGACAAGAGCGTCAAGACTCAAGACAGGAAAAGACGGCTCGATAACGAGGAAGGCAAGGACCCGAGGAACAAGTGGACAAGCAGCACGAAGGTAGTCAGACAGAGGGGGAGGCGCGACAGCAAGCGACAACGGAGGAGGGGAAGGCAGGAGCAGAGGACGAGACGCGTGGGATTGGAGCAACATAGGGTGAGAACGCGGAACAGGAGAGACAGTTCGAGCACGAGAGGGATGGCGATCCCAGACGTGAGACAGAGGCGTCAGATCATGAGACATAGGCGCAGATAGAAGTGGAGAACGAGGGAGGAAACGGGCCGGGAACGAGTCCGGCGGAGGAAATACAGGGCCGTGGACAGAAAGGGAAGGAGGCGGCGGGGGAGTCGCAGGCGAGCAGTCGGGGGAAGGAAGGCCGAGCAGGCAAAGGGCGGACACGGGCGGCGACAGCTGCTGCTGCTTCTCAAGGCCGATACCTGGACCGCCAGCTATACCGCGATTGCCTCCGGAACACTCCACTCAAGCACCCCCATAACGAGAACCCTCTCCAGCACCGGTGCCACCTCGAGCCCGCCGGGACAAGCCACGACAGGAACCCCAGGACTAGCACCCTCCTCGATGCCAGCGCCCCCAAAGTCCACAAACGGTTGCTGCTGCTGCGGCGGCGGCGGCGGCTGCTGTTGCGTCGGTGGTGGCTGCTGCGGCGGCAAGGCAACTCCGATTGTGGAGGAGGAGACGCCGGGGGAGAGACAGGCAGCGAGAACTGCGCCGCAGGGCTACCAGAGTCAGCCGACTCCTCGACTGGGACAACCAACGAGAGGGGAGTAACATGAGACACACCGGACGGAGCAGGACGGGAAGGAAGAGGAGCAGGGGCGACCGGGTGAGTGGGGACCAGAAACAGGGGGGGGGAACCAGGAGACCTCGGTGGGGAAAGCGATGGTAAAAGTGCCAGTCAGACGAGTCGAGGGGGAAAGCGAGGAAGACACAGGGGATAGTGCGAGCAGTCAGCTTGTCCGTACCAGAGGCACAAACGTGAGCAAGGCAGCCCCAGACGTGGAGCGCAGATGCATCACCAGGGAACCCTATCCAAAGAAGGGTCGGCGAAACCTGCGGCCGCTGGGAGCGTGGCCAGAGGTTAAGTTGGTGAGCGGCGTAGCGAACGGCGAACGGCCACAGAAAATGGGGTGCACCGGCATGAATCATGGAGGTACGAGCCACCTCCATGACCAAACCGATGCGTCGCTCAGCGACCCCATTCTGTTGCGGGGAGTCCAATAGGGTGTACGACTTGGTGATGCCCTCCGCACGACAGAAGTGTCCAAGTCGACCAGAAGCGAAATCGCCGCCACGGTTGAATTGGAGACACACCACAGGGAGACAACAGTGGAGGCGCGTTGCTACGACCCCCGGGATAAGAACGTCAGGCACATCGGTCTTCCGCTCTAAAGGAAACACCGTGGTGAAGCGCGTGTAGTTGTCAACGAGCACTAGAAAGTAGCGCTCGCGACGCGGTCCAGGGATGGGGGCTAGGCCCCATACGTCCAGGTATAGGGTCTGGAGGGGTGAAGTGGCGGGACGAAGCGAGGAGGAGTGAGGAGCACGGCGCAGCCGGCCCTTGTCGCAGGGCGTGCACGGCAGTGCAGGCGAGGGAGGGAGGGCAGGAAGTGACGCAGGGAGACCTAGGACAAGACCGTGCTGGGACATGTGACGAAGACGCGGGAGTGCTGGGTGACGTAGGCGGTGTGGCCACAGAAGCGACAGGTGAGTGAGCGACCGACACGAGCACGCAGCGGCGACCTGGGTAGACGCGAGACCAGGGGGGGACGGTCCACCCAGGGGGGGAGCAGTGTCCAGCGTAAAGAAGCCAGACACCGGGTCCAGGGGGAACGTCGCAAGGGGGGAACCTGAGGCGGCCTCGGTACAGAAGGCATACCGCTCGTGAACCGGGAACGTTGTGGTGACGCCCAGGTCCTGAAGACAGCCGACACCAACTAAGTTCCGGGAGAATGAGGGGATGTGCAGGCCTGTAAGGGAACCCGAGGGAACCGCTGGACAGGGAAGAGTAGTGTAGCTGCGATCAACTACAGGACCAGAGGAGGGGTCAGCAAGTGCGACAGCAGCAGGCGCAGCAGGCGCGGCAAGCGGCGTAAGTGCAGCGTGGTCGTGGAAGAAGCAGGCAGACGCACCGGAGTCAAGTGTGAAGGACAGCGAAGCGGTAGCGGCGGACGAAGGAGGGGCAAGTGTAGAGTCTAGGCTAGACAAAGCAAATGGTCCTAC